AAGACCCGCAGGCTTAATTTGGAGCGGCCTCATTATGCCGATAGCACATGGGATGAGGACTCTACTAGACCACTCTTTGCCCTAAAAAACCTAGACCGCCCTTTTCGACAAATATCGCCAAATCAGACGATTATTATGGCATGGATCACTGTGATTCTGCTAAAATTGCTCTTAGAAGACGACGATGGTGTAACTTGCGGCAAGAAGCAAGATCTTGAATCACACGTCGGCATGTCGGCCCCTAGGTATGTGAAGTAGAAACCTACCTTGCAAAAAATGACAAGCTACGACTCAACGGCACGTACTATGTAAGAATAAGCATATACATAGATCGCTACTGTGGGTAGGTGCCGGTGGGGAAACAACGAGAGCCCCATGACTTGTCGAGGGCAAGGTACGTAAAAACCGAACAAAATGACATGGGTGCATGCGTGCATCCTTGTGTCTTATTATTATTTTATTTTGTTTTTGCTTGCTGTTGGGTGCGACCAGATCGACAAAATCATGCGCAGCACGTACGTGCAGGTGCCCTACGTCAGGCTGGCCGGAATGGCACTGCCCAACCAACTTTGGATAGGACCCGTTTGTCCCCGACGGAGAAGAAAATTCGACGACGTCTATTTGGAGCGAAGTACACAAGTCGTACTACGTGCGTAGGAACCAAAAATCCGAGTTCGTCATGAGAACTTGAGCCCAAGTGGCCAAGTTGTGATGGCAACTCCAACGCACAACCCCGAAAGAACGAGTTTTGTCCGAATTTTATCAGTTTGAGGTGGCAATGGGACGGTGGTCGGCGGATTTATGGATGAACCGGGTGTGCGTCGAACGCGCGGCCGCATCTGATCCGTCGTGCATGCAAATATTTGAAAACAACAAAAGATGTAGCTAAATGGCATCGGCCATGGTACATGCCAGCGTCCGCGGTTCACGCCAGTTCATGCCGGCCGGCAACAAAGCCAGCAGCCTACAGAATGGCCTTCCTTCAGTTTCATGCCGGCAAACAAAATCAGCAGCCGGCACACTAGCAATCCTTCAAAATGAACATGTTTTTGACGTCGACAACAAAGCCAGTGGTTGGCACACGAGCCAACCTTCAAGATGAACAAGTTTTTGGCGTCAGCAACAAAGCCGGCTGCCGGCACATGAGCCAGCCTTTAAAATGAACAAGTTTTTTACGCTGGCAACAAGGTGATACTGCGCGGACGAATGCTCGACGAGCCTGTGCTAGCTGCGGCCATGTCAGCGACCGAGAGAATAGTCGACGAGGGTCGGCACAACCCTAACGTGAGGAGGGTGTGTGCCTTGGCGGCGATGGACTCCTTGTCGTCGAAGTCGGCCTGGTGTTGCGCAGCACGCGGCGCGGCCACCTCGGCGGCGTAGTCGGCAGTGGCCTTCTTCTCCGCCACCTTTGTCCGCCGGTTCCTCCTCTTGGCTGATTCGGCGTCAAGCTTGGGAAGCTCCGCCAGGGTGAGCTCCAACCGTGGCTTCTTGGTAGCCTTCTTCTTCTCCGCGGGGCGTGCGGCCGCGACCGGGCCGCCGGCCATGGAGGAGGGAGGGGAGGGGGCGCGGGAGGGTTTGGGGTGAAATGGAGGAAAAGTGGGTGGATGTGTCCCTGACAGGCGGGCAGGGGAGGACAAGGGCGCGCGTCCCGTCCATTCGGGCGCTGTCAGTTTCGCCGCAAGCACGGCCGAAATTTTGACCGAAAATAGGCTGAAAGCGATCGAAAACGGACGTCCATTTGCTCCCGCGCGTTGAGCCGCGTCTTCCGTCTCCGCGTGCACTCCCACGGACCCAGCCCTCCTGAAATTCCACACAGTAAAATTGAAGCTAGTTTCCCGTTGAAATTGTAACATGGAAATTCCCCAGCACCACTGTGCCAATCCGAGGTAGACGCTGATCGATCTAGTATTAGCTTACACAGTGAAACACTGATCAAAGGCAGTGTCTCAGCACTAAGACGGAGATTGCGTACGTACCAGGAAGCTAGTGCGAATATGAAATTGGCCTTTGACCATCTCCGGCCGTTGGGCAACCACCGCAGTAGAGCTCATGCGTCGCTGGCGTGGCATGCATCACGCTCCTCCGACTCCGATCATGGGAATTCCACCTTTTCTTCTAACGGGAAAACGACATGATGATGATGGTATACCCTCTCTCGATCAGCTTCTCAGGAGTGTTCCCTCGAGGTAAAAAGGGGTTACCGCATGCGCATGCATGGGCTGGTGAAGCCGGCACGTCGCGCTCACGCGCAAATCGCCCGGATCCAGATGAGCTCAGCGACCCGAGAAGCACGAGGGCGTGAGCCAACGGATGGTGGGTGAATTGAGTTGAGAGAAGAAGAAAGGGACGGTGAAAAATATCAAACTGAAACGGTCAAGAATTTCCAGAAGATTTGCGTCACTTGTGCCGAGCGAGTCTATGGCCAATGAATCGTCGGAAAGCATTCTGATGACGCTGAAAGCCTGAAAAATAGTACTACACGCTTGCATGGCTTCAACATCAGGCCAGTTGGTTCTGAGCGTTAGGTAGATCTCTCTTTTTCCGAGTCTTCAACTTTTACGTGATTCCTATCGTAATTGAACCGAATTGTTTCTGGTGAAATTCATGTGAACTGTCATGGATTTTTTCGAGCTCCTTTCACGGCTTTAACTTTACTAGACGCATGGTAATCTTGATAAGAAGATGAAATAATATTGACACGACGACTCTTGGAATCCAAAACCCTGTTCCTGGGCTAGCACAATCTGCAGGAGACGTGGTCACAGATTAATCGACTGATGTCACTCGGGGCGTCTAAAACTCTAGCCAGGGAGTATTAAAAACGTGTAGAAGCAATCGTGCGACGACGACGACCCCGACAGCAACGTTGTCGCGCCCGCCTACGTGGCGCGACGAAGGCCACGGCAGGACGACGTGGGGTGGAGATCCGGAGGATCGCACCCTGACATCAACGTGTTTGACAACTAGCTACCCGGTGGTTGGATGACAGTACCACTTAACAATTAGAGGAGATAGCACTTAATTAATTACACTATTACCAGGAGTACGTACTACCGGTAATGGCCTGCCAAGACGAACGGCTCCTGGCGCCAGTTGATGTCACGCCCCTGCGCATGTGCTCATGGACGTACGTCATGGATCACCAGGAAATGGTTTCCAGCCCGGCCTAGTGGGAGGAGGATTTTGGACTTGGTCTTTGTTAAGCAAAAAAAAAAATGCATCTTTTGTTGTTTATAATCTACAATCAGGCTGCTTTGGATGCTAACTATGATTAGTTAGGCTCTCCGGCATCATCAAGTCCAGGGGAATGAACCTATTCTATCTCCCCCTTGTGCCAAACCGACAGGATGGACTTGTGCTGGCCTATCACAACTTGCTTGATGCCGGAAACGAGCATGGACCCTCCCTCTATAAGGCTGGCTGGAGTGGAACAAAAGCTAGCTAGATAGGAGGATCAGGCATCAATATCATCATCATCATCATCGTCGACGTCCTCGTCGTGGTGATGCATTGTTGTTGTGTACCACTACCTGTTTTGATGCCAGGGAACCTTTTTCTTTTCTTTACAAGAGAAAGCACTTTATATTAGTGCAAAAATACCACATGGATATGCCGGTTTATCGGTCGCGATTTTCATATATGTAAAAGCGCAGAGAATAAAATGAAAATAAAGAAGCAGCAGGCACCGGATAGATTTTGTTGCTCTCTTTTATGTTTCATTTTGTATGTACATATGTACTATCGTTCTATGGTTTGGGGCTTCAAAAAATACCCATGAAAAAGAAAACATGCCTGTGTATTTATCACTGGAAAAAATAGCGTGCTATGGCGTCCTGAGAATTGTCTCACTAAATAAATCAATGTACAATGCCTTGCTAATAGCATGTTATAACGCGATATAGCACGACATAGCATATGCTAATAGCATATTTTAAGGCTAGCGCTATTTTGCTACAGCAAGCTATTTTTTTCATCGGTATTTATCGGCTGCGATTTCCATTGTGTACGTGGTGAACTGACCTGCAATGCGGAGTGAGTTCAAGCGGGTCTTATCCAGACACGGAGAAGATGAAGCCATGGGATGGATGATGGGCGAAGAGTGCTGCTCTCACGAGCAACCGGCATGTGTGCACCCTGGCTCCTGGATAGCCCTTGGGGCGACGCAAGGGCCAAATTGTGTGCGTGTGTGTGTGTACAAATCGTAATAATATCTGGATTTGGACATGGGCAGGGTGTCAAGATAGATGATAGGCTTCAGCGTGTACCTGGACAAGGATGAGAAAACAAAATGAGTGATGATGAAGGAAGGCAAAACAACTGGGCAGACACGGCATGTGATGCCAATCAAACGAATGGAACCTTTGCACGGACGAGCGCACCTCTCTTTCCGGATCAAGCAGAAGATACCACCATGAGGAAGAAAAGGCTTTGCTTGGACCACAGCGGTTTCTCCATGGAGTGGGAGGCGAAGGGGGTTCGGATGCCGTGCCTTCGCCGCGAACATCTCTCACCTTGCAGTCTACGAATCAGCGCAATTGCAGTGCCCATGTTGGTCCTTGAGGTGGTGAATATGTTGATCCTTAGCAGATTGCAGATCATACAAAGTAAGACTGAACTGTTTGCATTACTCTGTTTCCCTAGGAAAATCAACAAAGTAAGGATGTAACGTACTACAAAGATGTGACCAAGTACAGGTCACGAAGGTACAGATCGACAGCTATAGGTTTAACAGCAGTCAGCCTTGTTCTGGACTCCTTATCAGTATGACAACAGTGCAGCATAACACAGGCCTAGCACCGAACTGACACAAGCCGGCGAGTGAAGCGCGTGGATATCCATTCCCGCATTTCCATGGACCTCCACACCAACGGGTACACGGGAGCTTCAGCAGACAGCTTTCCAAAAAGGTTTGCTAATTAGTCTCATGAGCTGAGCAAAAGCACAGTAGGCCCCTAAAGCCAACTGGCACCTCTTCGACATCGAAAGTGTTTCTTCTACTTCTACAGTGAGTCAAACCACGAATCAAAGTCAGCTGATACATTCGAGGAACCAGAAGGTGGAGGCGCGTTGGCATTCGAGATGTTCTGTTCCCCCTGTGCAGGCGTAGCTTGTTTCTGATCACTCAGGCAGAAAGGGGTGTCGGCAAGCAAATCATCCACCGAATCATCGATAGATGTTACATCAATCTGCTTGGCATATCTGAAGTCGTCAATGTTGCTTTTGGAGTCAAAAGTTGGGCGAGAAGATAAACTTGATGCAGCAGAACCATCATTCTGGACAGATAAGGATGTCTCTGAAAGCAAGGCATCTAGATCATCGTCAACAGGAGAAAGTGCCAGCGATTTGGACGTGGTGCTGCTAGACGTGACCTTCTCATTTGACTCCTTGATCTTCATACCTTCCAAAGTAGAACTATTTCCAAACGACTCGTCTAAGCTGGAGCTGGAAAGGTGAGTTCCATCGAGTGAATTAAGAAGCATATCGAGCTCTTCCTCTGGAGCCACCATCCCAAGCTTCGACTGTTCTCCGTGGCCTGCATTTGGAACAGTGCCTGTGATTCCTGTGTAGGCTTCAGTGTCTGAATGCACAGGTCGAGGAATAACTTTGAATGATGTTGTAGCTTCTTCTTCTGCAAAACATTCCGACTGATGATGTGTTTTCATTGGGTCATCAGAATGAATGTTGCTAGCATGGTCAGGACTAACAGCATCTTTCCCAGGCTTTATGTCCCTGAAGTTATGTTGAACCAAACTGCCTTTAGCATCAGACTCCAATGTTGTGCCCAATTGAATCAGTATTTCATCATCTTCGTCTTCAGAAGCAACAGCCTAGGGAATAACAAGATGAATCAGCCTAGGAGAAATCAGATGAACAGAGGGATATCAAGTCAAGCTGAACGGATTTGAAAGAGGCTTAAGCATACATGCATGTTTAGCATAAAAGATAATGTTTATAAAATAGGCACATGCATACAACTCCTGGGCTCCTGGCTCCTGGAATTAGGACCTTATAGACACATGCATCAATATTGATGGCTCAGATGAACCACAACACTCCAACAGGTCAACAGCAGCTTTATCTTTGTCTATTTTAATATTGTATGAACCATGCAGAAGACAAATTAAGGGTGGAGGGTTTAATCGGTCAAACAGTGAAATAGGGATAAAATGTCTACTACATTACCCTATATAATCATTATGGATGGGTACTGCTCCAATGAAGGGAACAAACGTGTTCCTCCAATGAAAATAACATCATCAGAAATAACACGGAAGCTTATACAAATTTTATTGCTTCAGTTAACAACAGAGTATGTAGTGCAGGAAATTGCCGTGATGGTGAATGCAGCAGAAAGCGGTGGCCAGAATAGCCAAAAGGTCAGATGCTAAAGTACCCTATCCTTGTTGCAGAAAATTGGGAGATCAGCGGAGAAAATGGCAGCATAACGAGGCAGACGGGCTAGCTAGGAGGTGGCAACTACTCCCTCCGTTCCTAAATATAAGTCTTTTTAGAGATTTCAACATGGACTACATAAGGATGTATATAGACATAGTTTACAGTTTAGATTCACTCATTTTGCTTCCTATGCAGTCCATATTGAAATCTCTAAAAAGACTTATATTTAGGAACGGAGGGAGTACTAGTCATGATTTACGAAAGTGCACGTAAATATTTAGAATGCAGCAATTGATAAGGTTTGAATACCAAATTGTTTATGGTAGTATTTGTCAGGAAATATGAATTTTGATTGAAGGTTTCTTCGTATACAGATTGGATTAGACTTTGTCGTCCATTTTCATTTAATATAAGAAGGGCCTCTCCAAAATCTAACAGATCATCAATTCGTTTACACCTCATAATATTACATGTTCTCCTAAACTACTCTTATCTATCAGCAAACTTACTGCACCTAATGCCAAAATCTACCACAATTAATTTACTTCATTGCCATTTGTCAAAATTAACCTCAGAGGTTATTATAAAACTGGAAACTACCAACTGAAAGGAAAGTACCAACATGAAACAAAGTTAGCAACTGGAAATAGAAATTGCAGTACTGTTTTTACTTAAAGAAGGCATCTTAGTACTCTTCCATGATTCAATACATTCAATATTTATAACATCTGCGAAGCTGAACACGGTAGCAATAGAACAGAATGTAGTACCATATCCTCGGGTAGTAGATTTTCTTCCATAAAAAGTCTCTGGGAGAGCTTAATCTTTGAGAGTTTGGTGGCCAATGCATGGAGATCCATGGAGAGAAAAGGCACCTGAAATTAGAAGAAAATATACTCCCATATGAATATGTGAAAAACTGATGGTCCTGGAGTGAAGAAGCCACCAAATTCTGAACAAAAAGGTGCAATAGTTTCGTAAGTAAAAAACCACAAGAGTCCACCAATCCAAATAAACCTCTACATTACTTCATATTCTTTTCTATTCAATAATCTAATACGCTGATATTGTCTATTTGATCCAAACACATTTTCCTTCCATAAACTTCGACAGATGCTCAGACAAGGAAGGGACCAAGGGCAACTCCTGCCAGAATCCCATGCATTTTTAAACTAAATATTTGCTCCCAGAAAATTATCTATACCAACTCTTAAGACAACATCAAACCCAACGCTTGTGTAGAAAAAAAGGTAGGGATTGGACCTAAACATCACCTACCCAAACAAGCACCAAAGCAAGTTATAAATTGCATCAAACAATACATTTCACAAACATGATATAGCACAGTAGCAGATATGTACCTCAAAATCAGGTGCTAAATCATCCTCTAATACGAAATTATCGTCTTCAAACCAGGACATGATCCCTTCCGCTTTAGCCTCAAGCATAGATGTAGAAGCCTGCATAAAATCTAGAGAAGGAAACATAAATTAAAATCTTAGCACCGCTAGAATCAAAGCAGTCACATAAACAATGGGCCACATCCTAATCAGCACGTGGTGCTATGTTCAGCACAGAAAAGCAGAATCCACATATCAATTTTGCCAAAATTATTTGCTAACTCATTGTGGTGGGGAATTTTTAATATCGCTCCAAGTCAATCAAGGGATATATGCTCAATTCCAGTCCTAATAAGAACACAGTAACTAATGATGAAATGCAAAGGAGGCCTTATGATGTTTGATAGACTTGATTCTAAGTCTTTTAGGAAGAAAACATCTTACATGAGCGTTCACAGCACGAATTTAGTCATATTCGAAGCAAGGATCACCTAAGCATGGTTGAAGCGATAGGCTGAATAAACTTGCTCAATGAACAGAGGGTGGCAAATAACATAGTCCACACTCAATTTGCAGAAAAAATATGAAACAGTGGGTGAGTGATTGGTATGCTCCAATAACTCGTTATTGTTGGAATTTTCAACACTGCACCTAATCAATCTACAGGTTATCTGTTCAATTCCAGTCCTAATAAGAGCACAGTAATTACTACTGAAATGCGAAAGATATCTTATGATGTCTGGTATACTCGATTGTAAATCGGCGCTGCCGTTAACATGATTAGGAACGAGTCAACAAAGCATTCGTTACTTTATCAAGTATTCACAGTACAAATCTAGTGATATTTAGATTAAGGATCGCAATGATGACCTAAGTGGTTGAAGCGACGAACTGAATAAGCTTGCTCAATGAACAGAGAGTGGTGAAACATGCTGAGAATAGAAGCGGCAGCCGAAGCTGGCAACGAGAGCTCACCAAATGCCGAGTCCTGGGAGGCGAGGCGGCCGGCCGCGCCGAGGCCCCGCTCCTCGAGGGGCTGGGCCCGGGCCTGCTCGAGCAGGAAGGCGAAGTCGGCGCCCTTGCTCCGCGGCGCCACCTCGCCGGCCCATTCCGCGGCGTCGTCGGCCTCGGGTTCGTCCTCGTAGCGGTCCCAGTTGGAGGGGAGGTTGCGGCTGCGAGGGGCGGCGGAGGAGGAGCCGCCGCCGCCGCCGCCTCCGCCGCCGGCGGCGGCGGCGCGCTTCTGCTTGTGCGCCGCGGCCGCCGCGGGGGTCTGGTGGGTCCGGCGGCCGTGCACCGTGTGCGAGCGCTTCGACCTCGCCGCCGCCTTGGGATCCATCGGGGGAGCAGCGGAGCAGAGGGGAGGGATCGATATTTGCAGTTCAACCCCTGACACTCTTCATCAGAACAAATGTGCGCTCGCCGAGGGTTTCTATGTAAATTCGCAGGGCCATTTTATGATTTATACGCTTTCCCGAGGGCCTTAAGCTTCTACGGCCTCAGGACAGTTCCGCAGAGCAGAGAGCCCAGGCAAAACCCTTCCGTGGCTGGCTTGACGGGCGGCGGCGGCGGCGGCGGCGATGCGGTTCACGGCGTCTCCGGTGGTGGAGCTGCCGGTGGGCGGCGCGGTGCTGAGCTTCGAGCAGGACAACGACTCCTTCGAGGTGGGCACCTCGGTCTGGAACTCCTCCCTCGTCCTCGTCAAGTTTGCCGAGCGCTGCCTCGGCGACGAGGCGCTGCCCTTCGCCGACGCGCTCCGCTTCGCGGGCGCCCGCGCCATCGAGCTCGGCGCCGGCTGCGGGCCCGCCGGCATGGGGCTCTCCCGCCTCGGCCTCGCCGACCTCGTGCTCACCGACACCGCCGCCGTCCTCCCGGCCCTCCGCCGGAACCTCCGCCGCAACCGCCGCCACCTCCCGCGCGCGCCCCGCCTCGCCCAGCTCCACTGGAACTGCCCCGCGCACCTCGCCCAGCTCGCCACCCCGCGCCGCTACGACCTCGTCGTCGCCGCCGACGTCGTCTACGTGCAGGAGTCCGTGCCCCACCTCGTCGCCGCCATGGACGCGCTCGCCGACGCCGACCGCGGCGTCGTGCTCCTCGGGTACCAGATCCGGTCCCCCGAGGCGCACCAGGCCTTCTGGGACGCCGTGCCCGCCGCCTTCCCGGTGATCGAGAAGGTGCCGCGGGAGCACCTCGACCCGGAGTACGCCTTCGAAGAATCCGATGTGTTTGTGCTCCGCAGGAGGCCGCGGCAGTGAGATTTCGTTCTTGTTGCCAGGCATTTGCTCGTCATTTGCATAGCAGGTTTGCAAGAATTGCTTATTCCAGTTCAAAAGTTTGAGTACTTAGTTGTGATGGCTGGTGAAGGCCTCTGATATACAGTGCTGAATGTTTGGCTTCAATGGGTTAATGTTTAAGTAACATGTCAAGTTTCGCCGATGTTTTGCGGTGTAAACATGTCAGGTATTTCATGTTCACGATCGTATTTGTCCATTGCATTGGGTGATCGACAAAAGAAATTCAATGTGTAGACTTAATGGAGTTGTAAGCATCCTAACACTCAACTTCTATGTCAAAATCAAAACTTCTGTGTCAAAATCAAATCTTCTTGTGAGTGACGCTCTGTCTTGCTGGACTGATGAAATGCCCCTCTTTCCAACTAGGGTAAGGGATTAACTGAATGTGACTTCAAATTAAGAGATAATTGACTCAACTTCTGGGTCGAAATCAAATCTTCTTTGTGAGTGACACTCTGTTTTGATTAACTGATGGAGAACTGGAAATGTCCCTCCTCCCAACTTGGGCAGGAGATAATTGAATGTGACTCCCCTGGTATGCAAAATCTAGCTGAGTACACTGAGAGGATTCTGTCATGTCTTCTGTTGTTTAAAGCAAGTAAGTATGTTGCTGCTGTAGTTTTATGAAATGGTGGTGAAAACCTGATAGGATTTGTGAAAGAGCCACTAGTTTTGGCCTTTTGGGAAGCGTGGTGCTTATACGGCTTGAACTTAAAAATACAATGATTCTGTTTCTGTCTATGGCACATTGAAACTGTGCTGTATGCCCATTGCGCCCTTGATGAGGCGAATCCAGTTCCATTTCCCATTTTTACCTTTTGGTGTTGAAGTTGAAGCCATGACTGGATCCAAGGGGGTGAATTGTGGGTCATGGATGGGCTGTTGAAGCTTGCGATTCCGAGTGATTTGCGCATGGGCTTGTGTCCATCCTGAAGTGTGTCTCTTGCTTGGGTTATGCCTCGGGGGGCTGTACCATGAAGAGGCATCAGATGATCAAGCAGTTTATGCTCTGCTCATATTTGTTGCATTTTGTAGGGAGTTAGACCTGAGCATGGACTGGCCCTCCCTGAAAGTGATGGGCTGTAGTAGCTAGGGCTCCAGTTCTCCACCTAAAACACGGTCCAAAAGGCTGAAACTTGTGAAATGTTATATTGATCTGATAGAAAGTCTTGTAGATGCAGTACAAGATATACCCTCTCCATTTCAAATTACTTCGCATATCATGTCTCGCGTAAGTAACATGCTATTCTTTGTCCGGGCACCATTGGCCTTATTTCATCCGGTACCTCCGGGGATTTGGATTCTTTGAAGGTGCAAGTTATTATAGAAGCTGTATATATCGTTCATATACAGGTATGATGCATATGATGTTTTAAGGCAATAAGTTATGCTGGAATGAAAATTGCACGACAAGTGCAGCAGCTATTACAGCAGCTTTATATGTCGCTCATGCTTGCTGTAATCTGGCACAAGCTTATGGATACTATTTCTGTCGTATTGCATTGTAATTTAGCTCCAGCTTATGCATTCTATTTCTATGTCGGATTGCATTGTAATCCGGCACAAGCTTATGGCTTATGATATTACAAATGTCTCTGCGGCGCACTTTACTAGCCGAATTTCTGAATGAAGCTTAGAACACAAATGTAGTACTATAACTGTTTTTTCTTTATGATGTTTCAGTGGAGTGTACTGTCGGACAAAAGCGTCGAGGAAAGAAGGATCAAGGCCAAGGTGGTCTTGTCTGATGATGATGACCGGAGCGAATCCAAGGTTCTCGTGCAGGTTAAGTGGAAGAGGAAGGAGCTCAATTTGGGTGAGAAGCGGATGATTTGTGTAAAAGGGATATTCGAAAATCGACAAACAGTTTTTTTAAAAACGGTTAATCAACAACTTTATTTTACACTTCAAATCTCCTCTGTTCATTTACCAATGTATATGTATATGTATATGTATATACTAGCAGTAATAACCAAACAAAAAGGCCGACTATATTGAAGTTGGCTTAAAAGACGATTGGGAGTCGGTCGATGTAGCTGAACCGTTGGATTTTTGTTGGACGTTCCCTTATGCTTTCTTCTTCCTCAGGCCTCCCCTTCCATCTACCCGATCTAGCACCAGTTGAACCGCTTGCTGCCGCAACCCACGGGCGGCGGCGCCCCGCCCCGCCCTCGCTGCCGCCAAGGGCTTCTAAGCCCTTTTCTTCAATCGTTAACGAACTCACAAAAGATCATGAATATTACAAAATATTAATGAATATGCTGGCTTCTTTGGTTGATGAGACCAATCATGAAAAATATTCACCAATTTTAGAAAACATTCCTGAAATTTGAAATTGTTCCTAATTTTAAAAATGATTTCGCATTTTGTAAACGTTCACTTATTTCAAAATATCAACACACTTTTCTTTTTTAAAACAAAAACCGAAAAAACCATAAGAACAAAAATTCGTTAAGCGTTAGGCCTTTGGCAAGGGGGAGATGCAGAACTGGGCCAGCGCCCATGACCGCGCTTTGTGACGACGGCACCAGGCAACAAGACGCTAACGATCCGCTCCCCCTCCCGACCCTAGGCGACGCGACGACGACGTTCGAGACGAGGGCGCTGACCCGGCGGAGGCAATGCCGCCGCCAGGAGGAGGAGGAGGAGAAGGCGGAGATGGAGGAGATCACGGGCACAAGGGACCGGCGACCACCCACGGAGACGGAGGCCACGACGAGGAGGACCCATCTGAATCTTCTCTGTCGCCGCCGTCGTCGTCGCTGCCGGCCAGGCCTCGCCGTCGTCCCCGTAGAGTCTGAGGTTCGCGCTCGTCATCTTTCCTTGATCGATCTGGTAGATGTACTATTAACTCTTTCCTACAAAAAAGGAAGATATATATCGTCTCTGCGTTTTTTTTAGAATAAGAAGAGGAGGCACGAGCAGGCCCAGGTGTTCATCCCGGAGGGCGTCCTCATGGAGATCCTGTCGCGGGTGCCCTACAGGTCGCTATGCCGCTTCAAGTGCGTGTCCGGACCATGGCTCGCCCTCTGCTCGGACCACGGCGTCCGCAAGAGGTCGCCGCAGACGCTCTCCGGCTTCTTCCATTTCAACCGCGGCTGGCGCTTCCACAATTACTTGTCTCGGGAGAAAGGCCCTCCCATGGTCGACCCCGGCCTCCGTTTCTTGCGCGGCACCTTCGGACACTTTGAGGTCCTGCAATGCAGCACCAGCCTTCTCCTCTGCAGATGCTGGAAAGCGCCCCATCCTAAGCTACTCGGTTGGAATTCGTTTCCGGAAGGCAGGGCTGTTGAGCGCTTCAGATGGGGGCCCGAGGCTGATCAGTTCGATTATGTCGTCTGCAATCCTGCTACTCGGCAGTGGGCTTTGCTGCCTCCTGTTCCTCCTATAGAATTGCACAATCAGGCAGATGGTGACCTTTTCCGTGCCATCGCAGGCCATTACCTTTTGGGTTTTGATCCAGCCGTTCCTTCACGCTTTGTGGTGTTTGTGCCCGTATTTGGCATTGGCCTGCCGATGACATGGATCTACTCGTCAGAAACCGGAGGATGGACTTCCGTCCGGTGCCGGTTGGATGATTATGTTAACAACCCACGGTGCTTCTTTCTGAATGGCACTATCCTTTATTTTTGTAACTCTCTTTCAATAGTCACGGTGAACACGGAGGGAAATGTGTGGCGGGAAATGAAATTGCCACCTGCCATGACAAACATATATGTTGGCCCTTCCTTTGGGCAGTCCCAAGGATGCCTGTATGCTTGGCGGATGGACGGTTGCCAACTCTCTGTTTGGGCTCTTGAGAACTATGATGGTGGACAGTGGACCCTAAGGTGTACTGTTGACTGCTTGGAACTGTTCGGAAGGGATTGTCGCAAAGAAGATGAGTTCTACCGGATGTTTGCAGTTCATCCAGATTGTGATTTGATTTTTCTTATCGACATAAAGGAGAAGACATTGTCGTACGATATGAATAACAAAAAGTGCATGTTGTCTGTGCTTCTGGAGATTTCCCGGAAGGTCTACCTTACACTCCCTGTTTTGAGGA